AATTCCCATTTGTTTCCCCATTCTATCATTTGTTTTAACCCTAATTCTAGGTTATTTTATCTTCAGATAGATAGTTATTAATTGATATAACTGTAATGTCATCTGCATATGTAACTTTTAAACATTCTTCTATTACGGTTAAATTTGTTATCATTATGTTGAACAGTATGGGACTTAACAGTGAGCCTTGTGGGAGGCTCCTTGCTATTTTTCCTTCTGCAGTATTTTTATTACCTATGACTATTTGATAGGTTCTGTCGTTTAAGAAATCATTAATCCACTTGAGTGGGATACCTGTGGTTCCTATTACTGCTGCATGGTTGATAGTCTCAAATGCTTTTACCAAATCTGGGCATACTATTAGTGCATATTTTTTCTCTATGTTAGTTTTATTGATATTGATGTCCATAACTTGTAATGAATCTATGGTCTTTGGTCAGAAACCTGTTAGGTCTTTGATTCTAACCACCTGTTTAGTCTATTAGTTACAATACTTTCAAATAGTTTACCAATACATATTCTACGAATGAATCTGTATGATTTTTTTATCTGTTGGGTCCATGCCCCCATTTTATTATTGGGTTTATGTATGATTTTTAAAATTCCTTAGGTTATTCTCCTTTTGACCAGTAAAGTTTTTTTCTAATACTTTTTTGGAGGCATTTTTGAAAAAATTCTATGGTATTTCATCTGGTCCATAAGCTTTACCATTATTTGATCTTTTTAAATTACTGAAGGTAATTCTTTTAATGTAAGATTTTACTTATTCCTTCAGTGTTTGGTTGTTCTGTTAAATTATTGATTTCTTTTTTGTTTATTATTCCTTGAAATTCTTCTTTTAGCAAATCAAGTTTTTGTTTTATATCCTGGATCGGCTGATTATAATCAATTAATGGGTAACTATTAATTCTGTTTTTACCTGTTTTTTTTAATGAAATTCCACACCTTTCTGGTTGGTGTATTAAAATCAAGTGATGAACAGAAAATTTCCCAGCTATCCTTTTTTTCTGTTTCTATAATGTTTCTTGCTTTGATTTGTAGTTTTTCTTTTAATTTGTTTTTTTTTTGTATTACTTTCTGTTTACTTCATTTGAATTCTTTCTCTACTTATTAAATACTTAATTTCTTAATTTTATAATTTCTTTACATTTTAGGTTCCACCAGGGTTTGCTTGGTTTATTTTTACTAACATTATCATCAAATTTAGAATATTTCTAAAATGTGCTTTTTATTGGTTCCATTACTTCTGTTATTGAGTTAATGCCATAGATATCTCTGTTATCTAATTATTCTTGTTAATTCATCCTTCTTTATTGATGCTCCATTTTCTTTCTTTTGTATGTGTTTCATGTGTCTTTTATTATTATTCAGAGATGGTCACTTCCTGAATTCATACTGGTTTAAATTTCTAGATGGCTTAGTTCTGGGGTTCCTATTATGAAATCAATTGTAGTACCTTTTCCAGTTTTAGGGTCAATTCTGGTGGTTTCTCCAGTGGGGGTTATCAGCATCAATCTGCTATGAGTAATCAAATTGAAAAAGTTTATTCCCATTTTATTTGCTGTCTTTGTATTTTCATAAAGGATGGTGAGCATTAAAAATCTCCTATTATTAATTTAGAATTTTCTAACTGGTCTGTGTAATGTTCTTTTTCTTATTCTATTCTATTGCAAGGGTTATAAATCAAAATTGAGTTTAACAATTTTTTCTTGTAGCTAATTTTCATATTCTATCTTGTTATTTTGTCTTGGATTTTCTTTGTCTATTAAATAATCTATTTCTATCTTTTTGTTTAAAATATATCTGACGTTCTAGAGAATGAATTTATCCATTCATGTATTCCAATATTTCTTTTATGATTGGGATTGCTTCTGTTATTATCTCTGTAATTGTTTTGAAGATTCTTTACTTCTTGATTATTTGTTGTTGTATTGTTTTTGTTTATTTCTTAGCTTTTAAGTGAGTCTAACATGTTTTGTCATATGTTGGATGGTTCCCATTACAGTAAAAAACAGTAAGAGGGATTTGGACAATCTTTGAATTTGTGAACCTGCTGATTGCAATTATTACATCTAAGTTTATTTCTGCAAGAAATACATTAGGCATTCACAACATTTTCGGATGGGAAATGTGTACTGAAAAACTTGGCAAGAAGTGTGGCCTATGGCTACATTGGTGGACCTTGGAATGTAATTTTTTGTTTTAATGGATAGACTGTAATTTTCACCTTCTGTAAACCCATTCGCACCGGGCAAAAATGAACAAAAAATGGGGAAAATGCTGTGCTCATTTTTCATATTTTTTATGAAATTACTCTACACTAGATGGCTCTGCCTTACCTGATTTCACCTTTACTTGAATTGGCGGGAAAATGTATTTTTACTAGTGTTACGAATATCGATGGTTATTTTTATTATAAACATTATAATTACTATAATGTTATAAACATTAGTAACAGCAAAATAAGATAACGCAAAATAACTTCGT